AGACAGGGGTCACGCAAGGGTTCCTGGAAGTTGGGGTGAATATGTACACATGTACAAAAACCTCAATATTCTTTTTTTTTCCTTTGGTTTTTTCGAGACAGGACTTCTCTGTGTAGCTTTGCGCCTTTCCTGGAACTCACTTGGTAGCCCAGGCTGGCCTCGAACTCACCGAGATCCACCCGCCTCTGCCTCCCAAGTGCTGGGATTAAAGGCGTGCGCCACCACCGCCCGGCCTGGCAAGATTCTTATATATAAAAAAACTGCACAAGCCAGGCAAGGCCGATTGTTCAGCATTCATGAGCTCAAGGCCATCCGAGGCTATAGTGAGAACCTGTCTCAAGAAAGGAGTATGAAAGCTGAAGGACCAGGAGTTCAAGGGCAGCTACATAGTTTCGGGTCAGCCTGAGCTACATGAGACCCTGTCTACAAAATGTAGCAAACCAAAATCTCAAGTCTATTACATTCTTTTTATTTTTTATTTTATTTTTCTTCAGAGCTGAGGACTGAACCCAGGGCTTTGAGCTCTACCACTGAGCTAAATCCCCCACCCCTTACACTCTTTTAAAATGAAGATTTAGGGCTGGAGAGAACCGTGTTTAAGGGCTTCCAGAGTACCTGGGCTCAATTCCCAGGACCCACATGACGGCTCACAACCATCTATAATTCCAGTCCCGGGGACCCCCTACCATCTCCTGGCCTCTGTGGGCACCATGCATGAGGTGCAGACATGCACGTAGGCAAAACACTTAATTTAATTTTATTAAGGGCCAGATTCCAGCAGAGGCTGGCAGATCTCCAAGTTTGAGGCCAGCCTGGTCTATACAATGAGATGTGTCAAACCAAAAATAAGACCAAAAAACTTACAAAGTTGATTTGTACATATGCCTGAGTGCATGTGTGTGCACTATCTGCACATTGACGTAAGAGGCCAGAGGAGGCCACTGGATCCCCTGAACCTGACTTTACAGGTGGTTATAGGCCCTGATGTGGGTACTGGGGACTGAACCCAGGTCCTCTGCAGAAGCAGCAAGCTCCCAGGTACTAAGCCACCTCTCCAGCTCCGTTTTCTCCCTTTAAGGATGTAAACTTGGTAAACAAAGGGAAGAGGGACCCTCCCTGATCCCCCAAGGAGCTTGGATTAGCCTTGGACTTGCTGGAAGGGCAGGTCTGAACCACGAGGGGATGAAGGTAAAGAATTCTCATGGTGCTCGGGTCACTTAGCTTTCCTCTCTCATGGATTCCTGTCAAGTGTTTGACATTTGGATACATGACTGACCCGCTGCTTTAGAGACACTGTAGAGTCATGGCGCTTAAAATCGCATCTGTCACGTACACCGGCAAGGCGCGGTGGTGCTATCCCAGAACCTGCTATCCCAGAACTGGGGGAGGAAGCAGAGTGCCCCTCAGTTACATAGTGTGAGGCTACATGAGACCCCATCTAAACAACAAAACCACAAAAACAATAAAAACGGAAGTTGCAAAAAGATCAACAGAATGCCAAGGGTGGCAATCGCCACAAGGAGAGGGACTAGAGAACCAGGAGGCGCTACAATTTACAACCGGATGTGAAGGGAGACTGCAGAGAGACCTGATGCTGGAGCGAAGACCTGAAGGAAACCCTGTGATTATCCACAGGAAGAGCGTCCCTGGAGGTGGATGTGAGGGGGTGAGGCTCAGTGGTAGAGTGGAGCTGTGGTCTCCAACACTCAGCACGGGTGGCAGAGATGGGGGTGGGGGTGGCGGGGCTTCAGGAGAGGAGACACTGCTTGTAAGAATAAAGTAACAGGACCCCGGGGCGGTCACAGCACTTTATTGAGGGGCGGGGCTCCAACATCTGCACAGCTACAACCTGAGGACAGAGGGCAGAGGGCAGAGGTGAGGTGGTGAGCAGAGGGGCACGCCCCAGTCTTTCACACCCGATGCCCCTCTGGCTTAGGACTTTTGTTCCCCTTGGGCACCCTCTTCACCCCTACTCCGATTCCAGAACCCCGCAATGGTTGGCCAGTCCGTGTTTGGGAAGGGCCCCGACCGGGCAGCTTTCAAAGGGAGGACAGGCTACTGTGGGGTGGGCAGGTCGGAGCCGCTGGTCACAGGAGGCCAGGCGGTCACACCCGGAAGGGCTTCACTCACTGTATCTCCCGGAAGGCTCGCTTCTCCACCAGCTTCACTTTGTATTTGCGCTTGAACTTGGCTCGCTTCCGGGGCTCGATCATATTCCTCTTCTGGAAGCTCTTGAACCTGTCTCAGAGTATGTTACCTTCTGGCTTCAATGTCCTGAGTGAGCCCGACAAGTCGGAGCTGAGCTGCACATCAATGTCAGGGTCCTGGTACTTGAGCCGCCCCAGCCTGCGGGGCTTGTCAGCCTCTGCCAGTCGCCGCAGGCGCCGCTGCTCCCTCCGCCGAGCCATCTGGCTAGCTCTTTTAACTTACCCTGTTTCTCCTCATCTGTGTTTTGCCTTTTCACCTTTCTTCCTTCTGTACATCTTACTTTCACTGCTTCTCGGGTCTGTCTGGTGGCTGCCTGGCTTCTGGCCCCAGGCATGTCCCTCTCTTTCTCCCTCATTCTCACTTCTTCCTCCCTTCTCTCTCAAGCCTAGATTTCTTCCCCTACTTATTCTCTCTGTCTGCCAGCCCTGCCTATCCTTTCTCTGCCTAGCTATTGGCCGTTCAGCTCTTTATTAGACCAATCAGGTGCCTTTGGTAGGCAAGGTGGAACAGCAACACATCTTTACATAATTAAACAGACATCCTTACTTTATTAAACAAATGCAGCATAAACAAATGTAAGACACCTTAACACAGTTAAAGTAATACTCCACAGCATAAACAAATGCATCACATTTTTGCCTAGTTAAAATAATATTCTACAACAGAGCAATACATTCCTTGAGGATATAGGCTACACAGCCCACTGCCCACCAGCCATACAGTTCTCAGGTGGGAGCCACCACCCTACACTGTGCATCCCCCAGGAGGTCTGAGACGGGGCCCACTTCCCACCAGCCACACCCCATAGGACCAGAGGACCAGCAACATTTTGTTCACTAAAATGAATTTTCAAGGAGTTGTATTGTGGGGATTGTCAAGGCAACTTCGTGTAGTTAAAAAGGAGATTTATTTGGGGGTAACTTACAGCCAGTAAAGGGATTGGTTACAGGATCCAGGACAGGTGAGGTGTAGTCCAGCGGGGTTCTTTGGAGAACTCTGCTCCGTTTACCAGCCAGTATACAGGATTATGAGGAACCAAGAGGGCCAGCACATCTGGATCTCAGGCCTTAAGGGCTCCTGTCTCAGCCCCACCCCAGGGGCTGGTCATAGGCAGGTGTGGCAGTTACCAGAAGCCTCACTAGGGGTAATACTTCCAGGTCAAAGCTGGAACAGCTACCCACTACAGAGTCAAGTGACTAGACAGAGTAAAACTTGAGCTTCAGGCTTCTAACAGCTACTGAAGCTTCAATTCCCTCCAACTGCTTGTTTACACAGCATCTGCTTTCCCAGCTCTAGGGGACGACTCTAGATATAGTCACCACAGGGAGGCAAAGCAACTGGTCCAAGTTCACACAAGGTGAGAGTTGACCAGAACCAGGACTTCTCTTGTTGGCATGTTCTTTCTACACTCTCCATGCCTCTCGAACACCAGACATAAATCACCTTCTTGTACCATTCCACTCCATACCCAAAACAGTATGTCAGCTCTGTTGTATTTGACAATTACTTTTTACTCACTAAAGCCTTATTTGTTACACATATACATTTGAGTGTGTGTGTGTGTGTGTGTGTGTGTGTGTGTGTGTGTGTGTGTGTGTATGAATGCTGAGTGGATAGATGCAAGGTCAGCCATTTGAGACCTCAGAGTCTTGATAACTGTCCAGGTAGAAGCCTAAGAGAGAAATATCAGGGAGAGTTATGAAATTCCATATTCCAACTTCACCTGACGAAATGGCCTGAGACTGGCAGAAACACATCAGTATTTATAGTAAAGGATCTTCCTAGAGACCTGAGACACCTAGTGGGCTTTTTCTTCAAAGGTAAATCTTGCTAATATCTGCTGAGCATTACCAAACTACAAGCCCTTTATAGGGGTGGCCTGTTTATTCTACATAGGAATAATTGCTTGTCCTTGGATTTCTATTTGTAAGTGAGGAAAATGAGAGTTTAAAACATGAAGGGACTTGTCCTAAGTCACATAATTATTGGGACGGAGGTCTGAGAGAGACAGCGAGGTTTCTAATGATTTCACTGTCTCCCAGCCACTATCAATCCCAACCTCAGTGCACCTTTCTTTTGAGTTATGGTAAAGGCATCCTGATGACATGCACATGTATGTAATCAAACTAAAAATGAGTTTGTCTTCACTTGGCATTGATAACTGAATGTTTCTGAGGTGACTGGAGGAGAAGCTGCTTTGGTTGTGGAGGGACATGTGCCAGAGGTGCCAGATGGCAGTAGGGTGCTGGGTCCTCTGCTCACTAGAGGTCTCTGTCTTATCCCTGACTGCAGACAATCCTCATGCATGGGAGCTGGCGGGGGAGAGTGGGAGTCAAGTCAGCAGACACGGAAGGCAAAGCAGAGCTTAGAAACCTGCTGAAAAAACTAAAACACTAGAAAAATACTACTTCTGGAGATTTATATTCCACTTAACTCCATTAGGACTTAAGTTAGCTAAAAAAAAAAAAGTCTACTTTTAAAGTAAAGGAAATAGGATTATTGGATTTTGAAATTGAGAGCCGTAAATTTTAGAATAATTTTATATAAAACTTCAACTTCCTTTATTTCAAAGTAAAAGAGTCAGATGGTCTCAAGTAATTTCAAATCTCAAGAAAGATGAAAGTCTCTCTTTGCTGAATGCCTGGAAGTCCAGCACTAATGGCAGGAGATTCGGCTTGGACACCTGCTCTGAAGCTGACAGTGCTGGTCCTTCCTTCCTTCCTTCCCTCCTCCTCCTCCTCCTCTTCTTTGTCCTCCTCCTCCTCCTCCTCCTCCTCCTCCTCTGTGGTGGTATTGTGTTCCCCAAAATATTGTGTGACCCTAATAAATTTATCTGGGGTCAGAGAATAGAACAGCCACTAGATACAGAGGCTAGAAAATGGTGGCACACACACCTTTAATCCTAGCCTTCTGGAGGCATGGATCTCTGTGAGTTCAAGGCCACACTGGAAATAGCCAGACATGGTGACTCACGCCTTTAATCCCAGGAAGTAATAACAGAAAGCAGAAAGGTATTTAAGGCGTGAGGACAAGAAACTACAGCTGGTTAAGCTTTTAGGCTTTTAAGCAGCAGTTCAGCTGAGATTCATTTGGATGAGGACACAGAGGCTTCTAGTCTGAGGAAACAGGATCAGCTGAGGAATTGGCAAGGTGAGGTAGCTGTGGTTTGTTCTGCTTCTCTGATCTTCCAGCATTCACCCCGATACCTGGCTCCAGGTTTGATTTTATTAATAAGACCTGTTAAGATTCCTGTTACACTCCTCCTCTTCCTTCTTCTTCTTGGTTTTTCGGGACAGGGTTTCTCTGTGTAGCTCCAGCTGTCCTGGAACTCACTCTGGCCTCCAGCTCACAGAGGTCCACCTGCCTCAGCCTTCCAAGTTCTGGGATTAAGGGTGTGTGCCACCACCACATCTGGCTGACAACACCCCCTTTTCTATCCCCCCACCCCCACTCCACCCCACTTCTTATAAGGGTCAGCAACTAAACCAGGCATTTCCAGTTTCCTAGCTCTCTCTCGCAGTCCGCAGAGGCACCCCGTGTCTTTTTTCGGTGAAAAGACTGTTGTCGTAACTGTACCTGCCCATCATCTCCACACTCCGGCAGGCTCTGTGAGGCACTGATTGCATTCTCACCTCCTCCATTTGTACTAAAATGTCTTTTTTTCACTGGAAAAGTAAGGCCTTTTTGCTAGGACAACTCTTTGATGCTTTCTTTTCTTTTCTGTGGTCTCAAGTATGCAGTGGCTTTGCGTAATGGCTGCGATTTGTGTTTGAATTCTGAATCTAAATGACACTAAGTTACTTGTTCGTTTCTTTGTCTGTAAAATAGGAATTAAATGCACATAAAGCACTTAACCCAGAGCCTAGAACATACAGGTATTCAATCTGCAGCAGCTTTATTTATTTGCCAGTATACAGAACTGAGTGGAAGAAAAGGCTTGGGGCCTGCACACAGCTAAGGACCTTTGATGGATGACACTCCAATCCACGCCTCTCTGAGTTCATAGATACCATACCTTCCTTTTCAAGATAAGAAACTGAACCCTTCTTTCATCCACACCACGACTATAGCTCCTCTCCATCTGATTGGAGTGTCTATTACCATCTCATTGAAATGCCACTTAGACATGGCCTTGAGTGTAGAGCTACAGAGGGAGCTAGGAGTAGACTGGGGTAGAGGACTGCCCCATTAGCATTCAAATCATAATAGAGACCATTATCTTGGCAGCAAAATACCCCAGCAGTAGTGATGGGAGGAAATGGGAGTGAGTTGCCAAAGCAACAGAGAAACTTAAGCAGTGCGGTTTCCATAGTAACAGAGAGCCTGTATGGGAGTGTGCTCTTAGTTCCAACACTGTTAGACTCTCCACAGCATCAGTGACTCATCAGGTAGATTGCATTGCAAAGGGCAAATTAGCTGGAGGTTTCATTTAGAAGTTAGGCCATCATGAAGCCCACAGCCGAAATCTGAACTCTTCAAGATGGAGCTGGGCCTGTCGGTTAGGAACCAGGGTTCTTTTGGCTGCTGCCTAGTTCATTACCTCTCAATACCATCAGGTCTTATGATTTGTAAAGTCAAGGAGGCCCTGCCTGAACAAAATCTCCATATGGAAATCCAACGCACGAGGTACATAACATAACTTCAGCAGCAGACAAATGCATGAGCTGTTTCTCCTTTTTTTCTCAATTTTAATTTTATCAAAGTAATATACTCACATAATTAAAATGTCAGTTAGAGCCTATAATCAAGCACATCAGGCCCCTACACATCACTGTGCCTGCTTCCTTTATTCTAGAGGCAATCACTTTAATGTCTCTGGTTGTGTGCCCTATCTCCACACCTATATTTTCAAATGATTCCACACTGAATACAATTTATTTGCATTTACAATTAAGTTGAGGATGCTCTCTCACAACTCCTCTCAAACTCAACCTTCAGACATGATACAGAAACTTTCGAATAAGTAATATTTAATAACTACAGTGTTTTTTTTAACGTTATAGGACATATCAGTGTTGGCTGGCTGCCTGTGACATCTCTTGAGCAGAGGGCTAGAGACCTCTCTGTTAGACAGGCAGGCTCATTTTAGAATACTTTGTTTGTTAACATGTACTTTTTAATTGTACACACTGATGGGCTCTAGTGTGATATTTTAGGATATGAATAAAGTGAGTGTAATCAAGCCTAGCCTTTCTTTAT